TACGTATATATATATATATATATATATATATATATATATATATATATATATACATATATTATATATATGTATATATATATATGTATATATATATATATATATATATATCCTCCGAAAGCTAATGTGGCCCATGCAGTCGCTGGAGCTCGATAAGATGGGCGTGGCGCCGTGCGTCGCGCTCCCTTTTATTTAAAAATGTATGTTGTTCCAAGTTTTTGAATGCTTAGTTTTCGCCTTGTTGGTCACCGATTTGCCGATTTCAATGATGATGACGATATGTCAATGCGTACTGTTCTAGATTCTTTTTTGGAAAGAACAAAGTGATGGCACATGCGCTCGGCAAGACGGAGGAGACCGAGCACAGGAAAAACCTGCACAAGGTGTCAGAACATCTGGTTGGCCAGTGTGGCCTTCTTTTTACCAACAAGACCAAGGAAGAGGTCTTCGAGTAAGTCAGCCATTCCAGTCGTCTGCATTTTTTCAACTTCTTGGGTTATTTGTTTTTGTTTTGTTTTCTGTAATTGACTTGTCTGCGTAGGATGGGTATTGTGAATGACGTGAGCGGCAACTCATTGAACTACTGATCCTGACTTGATAACTCGTGTGCATTCGCATTGCGTGTTGCGTGAGCGTTTCACGGAACCCAGCACAATCACCGCCGAGGCGAAGCCACAACAGTGTGGCAGCTATGTCCATAATACGAAGTTAAGTCTTACGCTAGGTCTTATTCCCCAATACGCTACGCGCGCCAAGTATGCGAGCATCTCAACTGTGCCTCACTTTGCACTCTCGTGTGGACCGGTTTCATTAGCTCTGAACCCATGCAGCTGTAGTTTTGCGCCAGGAAGCCGTTGCCAGGCCGTCGGAGCCGGCGTCCGTCGGAGCCCGACTCAGCCCTCCCGTCACGCCCTTCGCCCACTCGCCCGCCAGGTGGTTCGGAGAGTTCAGCTGCCCCGAGTACGCCCGCTCCGGCAACCGAGCCACGGCCACTGTCCGAGCTGTCCGAGGGCCCGCTGGACCAATTCCCGCACAGTCTGGAGCCGCCACCTGCGCCAGCTCGGCCTGCCAACCACGCTCAAGAAGGGTGCGTCGCGGCCGGGCGCGGTGACGGCGGCGGCGGCCGGGGCCAGGAGAGCCATGGCCGAGGGAAGCGGGCGGTGACACGGGTGACAGGGGCCACGGGCTGGGTTTGGGGCTTTGAGAACGCGCGGAGGCGTGCGGAAAGGAGGATGCCGCAGGAAGTATCGCTAGGGACGGGCGGAGACACGGCACTCACGTTGGGGATGGTTGTGCCTCAGAACCGGTGACTCTCCTGCTGTTGGATTTCGTCTTCTGTCAGCGCCCCCCCCCCCCCCCACCCCAACATCCCTGATCTTCGCTGCGTTAGCGTGGTCTTGCAAGGGTGGACGGTAGCTTGATTGGTGAAATGGATCGATTGAGGCACGTGGCAATATTCATTCATGTGTCATGTTATGGAATGTACCACTGAATGGTGAAAAGTACCCACTTTTGTGTTCTGGACAACAAACGATAACAACAGGACGGTTCGGGGCCTAGAACGTAAAAGTGCCTCCCCCCCCCCCCCCCCCCCCTCCCTTTCAGTGGCATATGCGGTGGAGATTGCCGGAGTTTATGCGAGAGATCCGTCGGAATTAGCGCATTTTAATGAGAAATGAGAAATCTGGGATAATTTGTGGTTTATTTTAATGAGAAAGCTATAAAGTTATGACCAATTTGATGGCAGTTTGTGTAACTGCTGCCTCGCCTGCCGCGCTGCATCATCCGCCGGCGAGCGTATAGAGTAACTTTTCGAAGAATATTGCCGCGTCGTGCACTCAGTCTTTCATTTAGCGAGCTCCCACACAACTTTGCAAGACCAAGGTAACGCAGCCGAGCCACAGAACTGCAATGCGTCTGCAGGCGGAAGGCGAAATGCAACGACAGTGATGTCTCGGGCTCTAACGGAGCATCGACAGCAGTGCGCACGGTTCGGACTTCGCATTCCGTTGGGCCTGTTCCTGTCGTGTTGGACCTGTTTCTGTCGTGTTGGACCTGTTCCTGTCGTGTTGAACCTGTTTCTGTCGTGGGACGACACCTGGTGGCGACAGCGCCCGGAGGGCCGCAGCATCGGCCAGTGCGAAGTGCCGTGTTGGTGGCCCCTTGTGTCGGTTCCATGCTTAATGACCGTGCGCCGCTTTGCAGGCGTGGTGACGCTGGTCAAGGATCACGTGGTGTGCACGGAGGGAGACGCATTGAAGCCGGAGCAGTGCCGGATACTGGTGCGTATTGGACGCGTTTTGGTCAGTCATGGCGACCCTGATAGCAATACGACCAACGCACGGCACTGATCAGCTGATGCGAGGGTTGCGCCGTCGCTAACACACGATGTGACTGCCTTGAGTGCATGGCGCTGTGCAGTCCGCATGAGGTGCTCATTCGTTCTCGCTGACGGACTTCAGCTACCAAGCGCTGGATGCTGACGTGAAACGGCCTGGCCTATAGGTGCCCTGTGGATGTTCTGGTGCGTTGGCTGTCTGTGCCGCCGGCAGCTGGCCCCTCTTTCAGCCGCCCCGTGCCGCACACGCCGCGGTGCCCTCAACAGGCGGAGTTTTCAATTACGGTGCCGGGCCAGCAACAGCCTCGCTTTCCTTAGCCCACCCCCCAAGGTGCTAGGTCAGGGGCAGGCTGAGTTCCGTATACCCCCCCCCCCCCCCCCCCCCCTCCCCGCGCCGCAGGGCCCGCTGTGCCGGCAGCAGGCTCAGCTCCCGTGCCCACGCTCCGCAGAAGCTGCTGGGCCAACAGCAGGCCGAGTTTCGCGTGACGCTGCACTGCGTGTGGACGAGCGGCGGCCAGCTGGAGATCCTGCTGCGGCCGCTGGCCGCCGACGATCCCGCCGACGAGCCCCACATGGACGACGAGTCGGACATCTCAGATCTCGAGCCCGATGCCCAGTGACTGCGCACGGGCGCGGTCATGCGCGCGACAATACGGACGCTGGACGGAGCAAGCGTTTTTGTTGTGCGTCTTCTAGCGTCGATTGGGAAGCGAAACATGATGTGGTACTTCCGAATACAGTGGCCGCCTTGGATCCCCAGAGGTGCATGTCTTCCGCTTTGATCGGCAGCGATGCGTATTTTCACCGAGTTGATGCTGGACATGCGAAAGGGAGATTTGCGGTTGTCAAACGTGGGGACCGGTTGTCGATGGGTTGTGCTTTGTGCGGGCTGCTCCATGCCGATTGTTCGAAGCTTCACACGTTAGTTAAGAGCGCCGTCCTATTGCACACGGTGGCTCCTTCCTGCTAAGCTGCGCCAAATTGTACTTGTTGACAACTGATTGGATGATCTTCAAGGGATTTGCGAACGGAAGCACGCATTTGGTATGCATGCGGGGTGATAATGGGAGACGCCTGGAACTTGAGTTTGCGCCCTGTCGCGTGCTGTATTTGCAGTTTGAACGCTCTTCAGTTCGTCTGCCGCGCGCGGCCGGCGCGTTACGCTGGGGTGGTGCGTCATAACTCCTGTGCATCAGTCCACTGTATTCATAGTTCTGAAGACCTTATCCGCAGCGGTGCAGCGGTCAGTGGCTGAGTCGGCGCTGGCCGATCGGCAGAGTGAGACGTGGCATCGATTTACCGTTACTTTCGCTAGTCCTGTGGGTCTGAGATGCGGATGGCTGCAGCTTGGATAGGAGAGCCGCCACGTGTTTTGGACGCCGCTATTCACCCGGCGCTACTGTCCAGACCTGATCATTTTGAAACATGCTTAACCTCGCTACCCTGTCCGGGGAGAAAAGGAATCGCGGCGATGAGTAAACAGTTCGCTAACTGTTATAAGAGATGAACCAACATGTGCACGTGGAGTGCCTCAAGCCGCGGAGCAATTCGCTTTCAAGAGCAGACTTGTAAGCTGCTGTAGACCACGAACGAGTATTTGATGTTAGTGTATTGACCTGCGGTTGTATAAAACGCTCATGATAGGTTAAACACGCGGCCCGCTGACACCGCCAGTCGCTGCACCGCGGCACACCGACACACTCATTTGCACTAGGGGCGGCAGTACGCGGTAAAACGCTCCACTCCACACTCGCTAAAACACCCGAACACAGTCAGCGCCTCAGACCCGGATCGACCGCAAGAAGCCGCGCACAACAGCCGGCGCGCGCGGGCGGCGCGACGGAGATCTCGCGCGCGCTCCTGGGCGGCCGGCTAAGTACGGTCCCGCCGCGCAGGTAATGCCCGTCCCGGCGGCCGCCGGCGCCGGCGGGCCGCTATGGCACAGGCGGGACCGCCGCACTCGGCCCGCTCTGCAGTCTCGCTAGCACGCGCCGGCGCAGGCCCGCTAAAAGTTTTGACTATTTTGCTGCCGCTTGCGCTTGGTGTCCATGGCGTCGAGGATTGGCTGGCGCTTGGCCATGTACCGGCGCCGCAGGTCGTCTATCTCGCGCTCCATCTCGGAGTCGAGACTGTTCATGCGCGTCTGCAGCTGGTCGTAGCTCATAAAACGGATCTGCAAGCAAGCGGCAGTGACCCACGGGACGTCGGACAGTAGGGAATTAATACGTGGCTAGGTGTGACAAACATCACGGAACTAACATTGGGAATCGTACATGTAACGTCA